CTGTGTCATAAGGAATTTCTATCTTTAGCTTTTTGAGGAAGTGCCAAACTGCCTTCCAGAGTGGTTATACCGTTTTACAATCCCACCAATAGTGTATAGGAGTGCCTATTTCACCACATCTTCTCCAATATTTATTACTTGCTGTCCTGTTAAACTTTGCCACTGCTACTGGAATGGGATAGTATCTCATTGTGGTTTTGATTTGCATCTCTCTTATTGTCAGTGATTTTGAGCATTTCTTCATGTGTCTGTTTGGCCATTCAAATATTTTCCTCTGTTAAAATTCTTTCCATGTCTTTTGCCCATTTTGTAATTGAGTTATCAGTCTTTTTCTTGTGGAGGCCCACAAGTAGTCTGTAAACTTTGGTTTGAGACTCTTGTGTGAGATGGTATTGCCAAATATTTGTTCCCAGTCGATAGGTTTTCTTTTTACCCTGTTGGAAGAATGTTTTAGTGCACATAGGAATTTAATCTTTGGAAGGTCCCATTTATCAATTTTATTCTCTTCAGATTATATATTTCTGGCTGTATATGGCAGTCTCTTTATACCGTAGACTAGGCCTTCTAAGCTTGATTCCAGTTTGTCTCTTAGGAATTTATGGTTTTGGGCTTCAATCCCAGTTCTCTGATCAATATTGCGTTGGTTTTTGTGTATGGTATGAGATGAAGATAATTTTTCAGCCTTCTGCAGGTAGCAATCTAGTTTTGCCAGCACTGTTTATTGAAGATGTTGTCATTTCCCCATTTGATAGGTTTGATTTCCTTGTTGAATGTCAGTTGACCATAGAAAGCTGGGTCTATTTCTAGGTTCTCAATTTTGTTCCATTGGTCTGTGTGCCTGTCATTGTACCAGGACCATGCTGTTTTGGTTACTACCACTGTATATTAGGTTTTGAGGCTAGGGAGTGCTTTGCCTCCCACCTAATTTTTGTTTCTCAAAAGTGTTTTGCGAGCTGCCTGGAGAGAGGGAGCCGGTGTCCTATGTCAGAGCCGCCGCCGGGGAGGAGCAGCCGCTGCCGCCCAGGACTGGGCCCTTAGGGAGGAGGAGGCGAGAAGATGGCGGACGACCCCAGTGCTGCCGACAGGAACGTGGAGATCTGGAAGATCAAGAAGCTCATCAAAAGCTTGGAGGCGGCCCGCGGCAATGGCACAAGCATGATATCACTGATCATTCCTCCCAAAGACCAGATATCACGAGTGGCAAAAATGTTAGCAGATGAGTTTGGGACTGCATCTAACATTAAATCACGAGTCAACCGCCTTTCAGTCCTGGGAGCCATTACATCTGTACAACAAAGGCTCAAACTTTATAACAAAGTACCTCCAAATGGTCTGGTTGTTTACTGTGGAACAATTGTAACAGAAGAAGGAAAGGAAAAGAAAGTCAACATTGACTTTGAGCCTTTCAAACCAATTAATACGTCATTATATTTGTGTGACAACAAATTCCATACAGAGGCTCTTACAGCGCTACTCTCGGATGATAGCAAGTTTGGCTTCATTGTAATAGATGGTAGTGGTGCACTTTTTGGCACACTCCAGGGAAACACAAGAGAAGTCCTGCACAAATTCACTGTGGATCTTCCAAAGAAACACGGTAGAGGAGGTCAGTCTGCCTTGCATTTTGCCCGATTAAGAATGGAAAAACGACACAATTATGTTCGGAAAGTAGCCGAGACTGCTGTGCAGCTTTTCATTTCTGGGGCCAAAGTGAATGTGGCTGGTCTCGTTTTAGCTGGATCAGCTGACTTTAAAACGGAACTAAGTCAATCTGATATGTTTGATCAGAGATTGCAATCCAAAGTTTTGAAATTAGTTGATATCTCCTACGGTGGTGAAAATGGATTTAACCAAGCTATTGAGTTATCTACTGAAGTCCTCTCCAACGTGAAGTTCATTCAAGAGAAGAAATTAATAGGACGATATTTTGATGAAATCAGCCAAGACACGGGCAAGTACTGTTTTGGAGTTGAAGATACACTAAAGGCTCTGGAAATGGGAGCTGTAGAGATTCTAATAGTCTATGAAAATCTGGATATAATGAGATATGTTCTTCATTGCCAAGGCACAGAAGAGGAGAAAATTCTCTATCTAACTCCAGAACAAGAGAAGGATAAATCTCATTTCACAAATAAAGAGACAGGACAAGAACATGAGCTGATTGAGAGCATGCCCCTACTGGAATGGTTTGCTAATAACTACAAAAAATTTGGAGCTACTTTGGAAATTGTCACAGATAAATCACAAGAAGGATCC